TTTAAGCAAATTTCACCTAAATATCTTAAAATAGAAGTCTAAATAGAAATCACATCCACAGTGTAAAATATAAAAACGCAAGGGTGCATTGCCAGTAATGGTGTAACAAGTGTAATTTAAGAAAGAACAAGAAGCAATCTGCTGGCAGGGGAATATCATAGGCAGGGAATATGGCAGGCTGACATTTTCACCTTTTGTCACCATCTTATTTTAAAAAGAAAAAGGGATGTGGAAATTTGAGTCAATTAGTCTGCTTCCATTCAATTACCAGTGTGTCAGTGGAGGGGTGAAATGTTTCTCCTCTGACTCTCCTGTGGCTGGGGCAGGATGAGCTGCACTTTGGGTTTGGAGGGGGGAGGAGAAGGGGGAGGTAACAGGGGGAGGACAGGCGTGTGGGTGTGTGTATGTTTGTGTATATGTGGGACTGTCTGGGGAGTGTTGCTGCCTGCTGACCTGGTCATCCATCAGACAGGGTCCATCCATCCCGCCTCTCCTCCCCCACCCAGGGCCCATCAGAGTGACTCTTTGCCAGGCCTGGAATCTCCACATTAATTTCTCATCTGTGGCGCCCTAATGAGCTCCGCCTGCTCGTCCACCTCTGAGACCCTACTGATTATCAGATAGGGGGGCGACCATTTGTCAATGGCAAGAGATGGCATTTACGCTGATGACCTTGCTGCCAAGGAGAGAGGAATCAAAGTGCGGGAGAAAAGAGAAGAGTAGGAAAGAATAGAAAAGAAAAGGAAAGCAATCAACAGCTCTGGAGCGCCACACTGTTTGCCATCACAAGCACTGCTACTGTGTGTGTGGAGGCTCTGGGTTTGCTGCGGTGGTGAGCCTGTGTGCACGCGCCTCAGAGGGAGCAGGGATTTGCCGGTTATTGGATGGAGGGGAGCGGTGTAGGTCTGTGACACCCGCTAACCTTGGCCAGGGCTACTGGGACTCTGGGGGTATCCATCACTGTGGCAGCCTCGAGACCCAGACCGGGGGAAAAGCCACAGAAGTTGCCGGGGGAGGGAAAAAAGCTAGTAAAAATTTAATGCACTCCGCAGAGCGGTCATGTCATACTTGGTTATGGAAAATAATCCCAGATGCCTGCAGTGCTAAAATGGAGCTGTAATGTGCTCGCCTCCTAACCCGGCCTGACAGCCATGATGTACGACTACCATTACCGGAAAATATCACTTCAACTAACCCGTGATCCGGCTCCGCTAAGGGTCATATTATCCATGAGGAACAAATTACACTCCCCCAAAGTAAATACAAATTTCCTACACCGACTGGGTACAAAGCACGTAGGGGGGGAGGAGGCAGGCGGGAACGTTACCTATGACAACGCTCTGCAGAGTGACAAGGATGATAAAGTACATGACAAATCACTGGCTGACAGGGTACTCTAGTGCAATCAGCCTCAGCCTCGGCCTAGCGAGCACCCACTCAAGCCTGTAAACACTACTCTCTTCCTTTGGAGGGGGCAAAACACATAATCTTTTAACGCTGACAAGTTGCTCTCTCCTTTTTATTACTCATCCTTCCCACTGCGGTGGAAAGAGGGAGGGTTGGGGGGTTGGGGGGGGGGATATAAAATGGTTTTATGTACAGTGCTGCCGAGTGATTGAGAAACTCGACTCTTCTGCTGTAATTGCCTGAGGGCAAACACAGCAAAACAATAAAGGAAGAGAAACAGCAAATATATTACCAGTTCAGATCTTTATTTTATGTCAAGGACAAACAGGTTCTCTCGGCTGCTCTAAAGCACCCACTTAGATCCCTCGCCTCCAATAAGAGCAAAGCACAGCAAATTACAGCACTCCGTTGCATCGCCATTAATAAGACGCAAAGCATTTTCAAAATGGCATTTACAGCTTGTGGCTGCTGATAGAGCGAGTAAATAACACTTAGGAAAGGTGTGGCCTCTATAAAAAAAAAGCCCAAAGGCAAGGGAAAGAGAAATAAAAAGGCTACAGTGTGATAAAGTCCCATAGATTACAGCACAAAGTCATTGTCTTCACAAAAGGCCTAAGTAACACGACTGATGAACAATTAAGCTGGAAAAAGCACTTGAGCACCAGCAGATATTCATACTAAAATGTTTGACTGGCAGTTTCAAGGTGCCACTTACTAGCAAAAATCACTTAAGCATTAGCAAGTCCAGACAGAGTGAGTGCCTGAGCGCTCTTGACAATATGATAAAGACTGCTAAGACAAGGTGCAGACATTTGCCACTGTTACAGTCTAATCAAAAAAGATTATGTTGAGTGAATGTTTCGGCACATACATTTTCTAAGAGGAAAAGTAGATTTAGTTTACATTCATAAAAAAACGTATCCCCAAAGGATTTAAAGAGGTTTTTCAGAGCTGTGGATCAAACACATGTTGAGGCTAAGGGGATGTTTGATGGCCCCCCTAAAAGGTCTCAGATGGTGAAAACCTGTTGGTGTTAACTACACCATGAAACAAGGCAATGTTATTGGTGCTTTGGCGGATGCACATGAAAGACACCTGAGGCCATGGAGCTCTTTTCAGTGTGCTTTCCTGCCAGTAAAGCGGAACATTGTAACTAGGAACAAGGCGCTCCAAATGAATAGGCCAGTTCTCCCTAGCCCTAATAAAAATGACCACCTGATCCTGCCTAGACCCACCAAAAGGTTAGAGTGTGGACAGGATGCATGTAAGATGAGTGGAAGATAGGTCAAGCCACAGGATAGCAATGGATAAACGTGGACATCCTTGCCAGCAAAAGCTTTGAGAGGAGGTTTTTGGCTCTTCGGGATTAATTTTTGCTTGCATCCCATTGCCGACTTAAATACCATTATTCCTAAATGGTCCACTGTACAGTATAGGATGAAAAGAAGGCAAATAAACTTGTTTTAAACTTGCAACACAATAAGAATGAAATTAGCTGTAAATGGCGGGGCAGAAATGCACTACCTCAGTTTCTATGTGTGTGTGTTTTAGGTCTTTTTACATCTCTATTTGATAGGAATAGCTGACGACATGAAATAGAAGAAAGGAGAAAGAGGGAGATGAAATGGAGCAAAGGGCCGCAGGCAGGAATCGAACTCGGCCACTGTGGTAAGGCTTAGTACATGGGGTGACACTCTATCAGGTGTACTACTGGGGCACCTCAGTTTTTGTGGCTGTTTGTGTAGATAAGGAACCAGTCATGTGAAGATATGCACTAAGACACACAATCAACAACATTAATTATTAAATGTTCAACATGCACACAGAAGTATCTGTGTCACATTTTTCACACATGCCGTAGACCTTTAAGGCAGAAGTATTCACCCTTTCCTTCTCATTGTCTGAGCTCTGACTGGACTGCTTTGTACTGGCAGAGAGAAAGGAAGACCAGCAGTAATGGGGGCCTCAGCAGAGAAGCTAATGATAACACATATAGAGCTAATAACACCAGCGTTGTGTGACGAGTGACTGCAGTAAGCCTGCCTCCTACCTGTCTCACACTATGCCATTAACATGTCATGTTGGATAGGGCCCATCCTACAGGTCACTTTATAATGAGCAAATGCTCTGACGGTTTCCAACACATGCAGACACACACTCGCACACAAACACACTCGTTGGACTGTGCGCACACAGACTCTGAGATACGAATAGCTGTCTCTTATCAGAGTCTGGCAGCTCCCGCCGACACGGCAGAGGCCTTCTACACCAGGCAGAACATGATTTCTCCTGGGAACACTTTTTCCATTTCCTGCTTTTGAAGGGAAACTAAATAAGCCACGTTTGTCCTCATCTGAATACATTTGACCCATTAAAACGACTCTGCTCTCCCCCGTCCTTCTCTGCTGCGGTGTTGTAAAGTAGACGTCGCCCACAGAATGCAAATGACAACAGTGGCAGTGGGCGTAGTGTGCCCGGTGCCTGGCAGGAGCAGATAGTGGCAGAGGTGATGTGGACTGAGGAGGGGGTAAAAATGTTGAGTGGGAGCTCCAATTACTCCCTCGCACTGAGGAAGAACTCATGAGTCAACCCCTGTCATAGGGGTCCGCTATTTACTAATTCACTCCTCTGTTACTTTAACACACAATTAATCAATGACAGGAAGGTGTAGTTGGCGCTGTTCATCAGGAGCGTAACGTGAGCCAGGGTGAATTAATACAGTCACTGGGGGGATTACAGCTTACCATGCTCTCTCTCTCTTCCTGAAACAAAAAGGAATTGCCACAGAGACAGGAGCAATTTAAATCGACAACACTGAGTAATGACTCAATTTGCTGCACAGTCTAAACACCACAAGCAAATGGTATTACTAAATCATTAGAGTGGATCTAGATCTCTACTTAGAAGTCGTTGGATAATATGGCTGCTCTTAGAATCTATGAGGTGCACTCAAACTGTGAATACCTGGATATTATAAATGGAGCTGCACTAAATACTATAAACATGGCTAAAAACAAACATGTAGATACACTTAGATATTGTAATTGATTAAAAATGTGGCAGCCATTATTAAAAAGGACAACTGTACTTTTAAGACCAACAAACAATGTAGCTATAGTCGATTGAGATTACAGGAACAGAAATAAGCAATTACTCTTATTACTCTAATTAGCAAAAGCATGTGTCTTAAATAAAATAGATATACAGATATGAAGAAAAGTAGATGGACAGATATACAGACACAGTACTTCATATGATAGATAGGATAGTGAGTGCTAGGCTTTAAGCAAAAGAAAGCCCGCACCCTCAACCCTGGCTGTCACAGCAGTCTCATTTAAATGTCATCTAAATCCTAAAAACCCAGAACAGTTCGATTTAGATTTTGCACATCATTAAGTCATTTATAATTAATGCACAGCTAATTAAGGCTTTCTCAGCAAGTTATTAACAGGATGTTTAATTCTAATTACATTAAATTCTCAGCCTTTAAGAAAGTCTAATATTTGAATCTTATCGAAACCGATAAAGAATTCCTGAAATGATCCAAGCACATTTAATGGTATATGAAAAATCACAGTAAATGGCTGGCTTACCTTGTCATCTTGGTCACTCTCGGTGTCACACTGCAAAAAAAACAGAAAAGAAAGGCAAAGCTGAAAATGAGGAATAATATGTCTATACCTGTTTAATAACCATCCCTGCTAGGGTTGTATTCAGTTTCAACACATGTCAGTGCCATAATCTAATTTACCTTTGCAAATGGCATATCTTATCAGCTTTTTAATGACGAACTTATCACATACTCATATTCAGTGTCTGAATATCATCAGATCACTTCATTAACTGACACAAGCACTGGAATGTGAAACAAAGCAAATTTCTCATGAGCAGCTGTGTCCTTGTTAACAATGAAACCTATGTGAAATTCAGACGAAGCTGGAATCTCAAAACACTAACCGCCACTAGAATTATAATTCCATGATGTCTGTTCCTGCTTGAGGCTGGGAAGGGAGAAATGACAAGAAGAGGAAGGGAACTTTGTAATGGAGGGAGGAAAAAGTGGTTAGATTTCATTTTTTCTTTCCAATTTCAATTTCAAGGTCCACTTAATTCTTTATCAACTAATTAGTGTGATGCTGGGTGACTGGCGGCCCTCAACGTTGTGCATATGGCTGAGGTGCAGAGAAGCACTGGAGTCGGTAATGAAGAAGGCACTGGGGGGGAATATGGGCAGGGGTTGGCACAGTGAGTGTGTGTGTAGGCGGGGGGACCGGGAGTGCAGGGAGGGGTTGGTGGGTGTCGATTAAAGTAGGGAGGGAGTGAAGGAAGGGGGTGAAATGATTGACAGCCCGGGGAGTGAGCGACAGAAAACCCTGCCGTTTTTTCTCTCTCTCCCTCTTTTTTTTGCTTCCATCTCTTGTTTTTTGCTGATCTGGGGCCCTGCAGAGCTCAAAGGTAGCTGGCTAGGCTCGTAGCTGGTCTGTTTCTGAGGCTGGACGGTAAAAAGGGGCCTTGCGAGCTCAGCAGGAGCATAGCATCCAATTTACAGGCCTGTCCCACACGGCCCCAGGGGCCGCCCGCGGCACACTGCCATGATGGTCAGCTCCAGCAGCTCATAAATTATGCAGAGGCAATAAACGCACTGGGCAAACACTCCTCAGACGTTTCCCTGCTCTCCATCTCTCTCTCACTCTCTTTCTCCACCACCCACAACATTCCATCCCCCATTTAATACAGTGTGCAGAGAGCCAGCAGCCCTATAGACTGTCAGCTGGAAGAATAAATAAGGGTAATGAAAGACGAGTGTAGATTCTGATTACACGTGAATGTCTGTGTAATACAAAAAGCTGCACACTGTGTGCATTTATGCACGTCTATTCAAGCTTGTGAAAAATAGGCATGTTGGCCATGTATCGCTCTCTCGTGCCGCCTCCCACACAGGACTGACTAATGCAGCGGCAGACAAAATCTGTTGAGCAGTATTAGCCATCTCAACTGCTTCCATGTATTCAGGCCTCTCAGAATGTGACAACAGTAATGCAACTGAGCACTCATTAGCTGCTTCTCTGCCTGTGCACACTACACACCCGGGAACACAGGCATGCAAGGGGTTCAAATAATGGACATCATTTTAGTTTTTCCACTGTGTTGTGATCCATAAAAAATACTGCTAGCCTTTCTTTCTCATGTTCCCCCTTTTTTTTTTTTGCTCTCCCTCCTTTCCCCTGTTCCCTGGCTGTGCAGCCAATTGCTTTGATTGCCGAGATAGAAGCCGGCTGGAATGACTTGCCCTTGCTTGTGAAGCAAATGGAACATGCTAATGGAACTCATCGTATTACCCGATGCAAAAGTGCCATAGCTCATTACTTTAAGATAAAAGGATATCATTGTAGACGGCAAGCAGAATTGACTTTCTGTGCTGCGACTTGATGATGATTTAATCAACTGCTCTCTTTCACTTCTCATCCCCGCGCCTGTCGCTTTCGCAGGTGCCACTAAACGAAGCACTCACACGGCTAGTGGGGGAGAGAAAAGAAAAGAAATTGCTGTCATTATTTTTTTCCCTAGGAATAGAGGTATGCAAATTTCCCAGAGCGACAAAGGGTGGAAAAAAGGGAAAACTTAATAAAATGGAAATACCTTTATAATGAGCAAAGTAAAAAATCCTGAGATCAGGCCTGACAGGCGAGGGCAGGCAATTTGATTGTCCTTACAGAGCAGATGCCAAAGATCCCTCGAACTTGCTGCTTAAGTATTGAGCAAAAAGTACCAAATAATAATATCTCTAAAAGACAAAAACACATCTCAGGCATACAAACAAGTCAGAGCTGTCACTCACTGATAAGTGATCATAGTGAACTAATGCGTTGCCTCATGCATAAAGCAACCTGAGACAGGAGAGAGGAATCCCTGCATATCTGGAATATTTTCATTCCTTGTATTTCTACTTACTGACTCTTACATTAGAAACAGAGACGGAAAGCTAGAAAGTCTCGGCTTTGCACCTGGCAGTTGGAAACATCATGAATGATTGGTAGACCTCATCCTTAATAACTGAGGTATGGTATTGTTTTAGGAGGTAAGCATGAGCTCAAAAATTCAGTTATTGCTACTGACGGGTGAGTATGAATAAATCTGCAAAGCTATGGTTAACTGTAATGTCAAAAACACTTTATACCAATCTTGAGAGGCCATGTCTAATGAAAATACATGTGTCAGAGGTTTAGAATGACTGACAAAAATGAATACATTATATCAAAGAATGAAAAAAAACACAACAATGGTGCTATTGAGATCAGTGGAGTTAGCTCTCTGACAGGCTGGGTAGGAAATGGGTCTTATTTAAAGCAACAGCCATGTACAATAAGGAAACCATTAGTCCTGGGAGGGGGCTGACAAAGAAAAGTGATACCCTACCCAGGCCCACTGCTATTTACATAGGACCAGCATTACACTGTACAGCCAGACCCTAGTGTTAAATTTAAGTAACACAGGAATGTCAAACATTAGCTTCAGCTCTAAGAGCTGTTGATGTTGGCCTGTATCCGGAGCACTTCTGATTGCCCCTCTGCTCTCACCCGGGCCTCTCTTTTGGCTGAGTGCTCTTACAAATTTCCCTACGCTCTGTCCAAGCATCAAGCCTTTTGTTTATATTGGTCTGAAAAAAGGAGTAAATTATTCTTGTTCTAAATCCTCTCCAGCTGAGAGTAATACTGGCCCAATACAAGGGGAACATAAGGAGCCACGGGCTGAATGCTAAATGATGCTGCTATGCTAGCGTCCGTAGCAGCAGGCCTCATCAAAGTCTCCTGCCAGAGCTACCCGCAGAAAAATGTCTGTACCAAAGAAGTAACCACATCACACGAGCATGCGTGCAAAGCAAGTATGCCATGTTCCCTTTTCCAACATAACCTTCTGGAAATCCACTGGTCCACAAATACTAACAGATGTTAAGTCAATCAAGAAAAAAATGACATGCGTAAATGATATTTCTAAAGGCAAACAGAGTGTGTTTAACAGGCTTATTATAATTCATCCGCCAGTGTAAGTTGTCTATTCAAATATTTTCTTAAATGGCATCTTCCTAAGTCTGGATCTGTGACGGATGCGCATTGTCGCTCCCTTGAGTGACATTAGCCTCAGGTTATGCTGGTTCCTATCCACGACCTTAGAATTAATTATAGTTGATATGGGGTTCATTAAAGCACCACGCTGCACAGAGGATTGTGTCTGTTTATCAGCCGGAGCCAGGTTGTCCTGCAGGATGGCTGAAGGGGTTAAAGCCCAGGGAAGAAGCCAACCTGTCTGCATGCCTGGGAGCTGGAAAGACAGCATGAAGGATGGCAGCCATTGCCAGGGTCAGCTCTGACAGTGCCAATTTGATGTGCTGTCGTCAAGGGCTCCTCATTCCCTCCTCCTAACAGCTCCTTCCTGATATAGCTGCGCGTCCTGATGGTTTTCTGATGCAAACAGTCACATGGCAAAATGGTTTTCTCCCCTTCCGCTGCATCCTCCTCCATCTGCTGCTGGGGCCTGGGTGCCGCCGACCGCCTGCCTGTCACAGCGTGCGTGGAAATTAGCTGGGGAGGAGGTGCTCGCTTGTGCTAATTACATTTTAATCATTGGAAATGTGTTGGCAAATCAAGCCTTGATTGCCATCTTGGAGCCCAGTGCTCCTCTCTGCAGGTTGGGGATGGGGGTGGGAGGGTGTGGGGGGTTTGTGGGGCTAGAATGTGGCTGAGCCCAGACTCGCCAAGCTGGACGCATCACTCTCAACCACAGCTTGATATGGCGGCATGCCTGGCCTACCACTGGGTAGGGTCTGTGCCACATTATTCATGGGGAATAGAGGAAGAGCAGGGTGGCGAAATGGGAATCTGTGCCATGCTTATTCTCAAATCCCCCACTCACACCTCCCGTATCCCTCTCTCTTTCTCACCCACACATTACACAGTCTGCCAGTCCCGCCACTGCGAATTGAGGAACAACAAATACAGCCGGGCAGGAGGAGACTGATGAGCTCAGGGTTTGCTACACAGCACCTGCTTTGGCACACAAAGCTGCAGCAGCAGGTCCCGTCACAATACGCTCTCAAATTAGTTTCTTATAACATAAGTTAAAAAAAAAGAAACCGACTTGGCTACAACAAATTTAGACTTTTTTTTTTAGAAAAAGATGGGAATAATCTTGAGGTTGGTAACATGACCGCCAGCTTCTGCCAGAAGAGGACCTGCTCCCTCTGTAGATAAAAATGCTCATTGTAAGGTAACGAAAACACAACGATTCTTATTTTCAGGTGATTATACACTAATGAAAACATACCTATAAATATTATATTCCATTTCTGCCAATGGATCATCTTAATGTTACACACTGGACCTTTAGAGCCAATTTTCCTTAGTCAGTGTTAACCACTGCTCATAATGAAAAACATTGTGCCAAACACACACTGACTGACTTCACGCTGGACTGAACCTCAAATAAACTCTGGGATTACTTGACTTTAGAAATAAGCCAAGCAGACACACATTTCATAAAAAGGTATCCATAAAAGACAGTTTAGTAAATACACCTAAAGGTTCAGTGAGTGGAAGGAAATTTAACATGACATGCCTGACTGGGA